TTTTCTCAAGATGTGCAGAAATGTTGGCGTTCGCCTGGATGATCTTCGGGTATGTGGCTGGTGTGGTTAAGCCGAGTTTGGCCCCATAGGCACAACATGAAAATATCACATTACATCATATTGAAATATGTCCTCAATCCTTCCAGCAAATGAGAGTGCGAACCATAACTGGTACGACTTACTACACGAGGTCTGGAGCGAGGATCACTGGGAGAGTTCATGAGCGGTTCATGCTGATCGATGGAAACAGAGTGGCTACAGGTTCCTACAGGTATCAGTTCACTGAACATTTGACCTATCAGGCTGTAGGTGACGCTTTTATCTTGCAGGGTTTGGTATCTTCAGTCATGCATCATGCAAACTAAACAGCATCAACCTGACTGCAACCTTCACTCTGTTTAATGGATCTTGAAAACACCCTGAAAAGAAATGTCTTTATTGATTTAGTTAGCACCATAAAAAAACAATCCTGCTATACTGGAAATCTAAAAACGCAGTTAACTTTAGAAAAACCTGCTAATTCAATATGTATCTATGGAAAAATGATCTACCCTCCACCCTCAATTCACTAATTGATAAATTTTGAAATTCACTCATCCACCATTTAAGTTGGTAAAACCTCTCCAGGATACATGGTTATATTTTATGATTCTTGTTTGAACATGTTTAACTATTTGTTCATGTGTTTTTATTAACATGGACTCTCAGTGAGCTGCAACTGTTAGGAGTTGGTGACTCGAAATTGAAAGAAAATATGTAATTTTTGTCCCTCGTCGTGGTGTGAAAAGTGAATTGGAAATACGGTCTGTCTGTGCACGTTATGTTATAACATGAAGAATAAGCAACGGACAACTTATGTTTTGGTGCATGGCGGCATCTAGGTGTAAGAAAGGTTCCTTTTTAAAAATTGGGTTGCCAGGTTAAAATCCAAGATGGCCACCTCCATGTAATCTGGCCACCCTTATCATTTAAGGAAACTATGCTTTCTAATTTTTATATTGCTTAAAAATATACTTTCCTCAAATGATTTGGGGCCAAGGCCACCATTGGCCACCCCCGGTTCCATCATCGCACCTGGTGGTGGATAAAATTGCTCCATCCCCTCACTAGGGACACTGCACTACCTTGGATAAGAAAAAAAAAAAAAAAACGACCTCGTTACCTCTGTTCTCCTGCACAGTGCAGCTCCTACCCACCTTGCACCAAAAACATTAAGGTTGCAGTCCCTGTTTAAAAAAACACTCCATCTTGAAAACGACAAAAAATGTCACTATTCAAATTAGTTAACAACTGGAGACATTGGTGTACAGTAGTCTCTTGTTTATTGTGGGGGTTACGTTCCAACACCCCCCCACCCCCCCGGAATAAGTGAAAATCCGTGAAGTAGCGACGTTATAATGATTTTTTTAAATTTATGTTAAGGCTTTATAAACTCTTCCCACACAGTTGCAATGTTCTAAACTCTTAAATCTACGTTAGTTTAACAACATACGTACAGTTCTGTATATGTAGCTAATTTACTCACCAGCTCTGCAGAACAGCAGCGGCTCGATTCTGGTCCGATTTGGTTCCGTTTCAGTGGACCTACCCTGCCAGTCAGCTTTCTGGCTTGGGGTGGTGGCGGTGGGCTCTGGAGGGAGCGCCGGACCTACGGTGCGCGTCACCGCTTGTCCTCGTGGGCCGGCTAGCAGCTCTCGGATTTGCCGATTGGTCTGGAGGTCTGGTTCTGTGCAGCCCTTGAGCACCGAAACACATTTTGGAGGGAGCCAGACTTTCTAATGACCAGTCTGGGACCAGATTGGGTCCAAATCTGGATGAAGAAGTCTCGGTGGGCTCCAGAGAAAAGCTGGACCTATGGTGGCACACGTCCCGAACAGAGCTAGTAGCTCTCGGGTTCACTGATGAGTCTGGGGGTCTGGTTCTGCTCTGGTTCTGTGCAGCCTATCAGCACCCGGGTTACACAGCACAGTGCTCTGTTTCTTACAGACGTGTCCTGACAGGATTTCTTTCTTGTGAATCTTACGTTTGTAAAGTTTAATTTTCTTAAAGAAACTTGTCCAGGTGACATGAACTAAATTTAACGTTTGAAAAGCCGGTTCAGCAGTCATGACTTCACTTTGCAAAAATACTGTTTGGCAGAAACCAGCAGCCCGAGGCACTACAGTACAGTATTGGCTTCTGGGAAATGAAGTCCTGTTGAGTGGTAATACAGTGTAGCCTTATTGAAAGAAAACTACAAAATGGTGGTGCCAGTCAAAAAAAAAAAAAAAAGCCTTTTTCCCAACCACGTGAGTACAATAATATTACTGTAAAGTTGACAATCGTGTGTACTGTACTGCACTGTACAAATGATTTTTGTACAATTCTACTGTACGTTGACAAGCGGCGATAGAGCGAGTCCTCGAAGTAGCGAGGGACTACTGTACAGCTGGTTTTGTTGCAGAACTCTGAATGTTTGCCACCAAGTCACCAACAAGTGCAAGAACCGAGTTTTGAGTTGCCAGCGTTTTGTTTTTTGTGCTATTTTAGTGTGCACGGCTCACTAAACTGGATTGTTTTGTTGTCATGTTTATTCTCACGGCTGTTCCAGGTTCAACTGGACCGACGGCAAACTGAACAGCAGCAACCTGATCGAGCTCTCCGGTCAGATTTCAGAGAGGTTCGATGAGGAGTTCCGTGTCCTCTATGCCCAGTCTCAGCCCATGAGCACTCGTGGACCTCCTGGTGTCCGTGGCAGCAGCATCTTCGAGAGCCTCGTGGTCAAGCACTCTGTCACTTTCTCTCCTCGTTTGACCAGAGAGAAGCTCGCTGAGCCGGCTTGTCTGACAAGTACACCCAGCCGTAAGCCCCAGGCGTTAGTGTTTGAGTCTCCACGTGAGCCCACGTCACCAGATCATCGTAAAGCCATCCCAGTCTCTGACTCCACCACCATAGATGGGATGGAGCAGAAGCACATGCAGGAGGAGATCCTGGCTGGCAGCATGAATCAGCATTTTGCTGCAGAGCTGGTCTCCTGTCATGTGTCGACTCAGACCAGCCTGTCGGTGGCAGACAGTGACACTCAGACCGACGCGCAGCATCTCTGCGTCACGACGCCTCAGAGAGCAAGGCCAGTCCAGAGCGTCTCGCTGCCCCCGTCCAGGCAGACCTCAGCCCCTGCTGCAGCTCCAGATGCATCTTTAAAGGACACCTTCCACAAGCTGACCAAAGAGCGCCAGTACCACTACTCAGCCATTCGCTCCAAACTGGAGCACATGATGACGTCGCTGAGCGAGAGGCGAGAGCTGGCGGACGTCACCAACATGACTCGGGGGCTCGGAGCTCACAGCAGGCAGAGGATGCACAAAGACTGTGCGCTGCCTGTGGAAGGTGCAGCGATGGGCACTTGGCCAAGAGCCAGATGTGTACACTAGTTTTTCTGCAGAGATTTTAGAGCTGCAAGGTAGTGGGTAAAAAAAAAATTTCTGCAAAAATGTCTGTAGGAGAGGAAATCTAGTTTCCTTTGGTGTCAACTTTGTCATTTCACCTGTTTTTTGTTTTTTTACATTTTGCGGTGATGGGTTTGAAAAACTAATATTAACATGATGCAGATTTTTAAACTAAAAGCTGTGCAATAATTCATCCAAATAAAGTAACGAAGTTTGCGTGATGACGAGCGGATCAAATCTGCTGTAGTGAGTGAAAACGAGCTGAAGTGTGTTCTGCGGCGGACGCTGAAACTAACCAGAGGTCCATTTGGAGAGCAGCCGGGTCTCACTGTGCCTTCAAAATAAAGCCATATTTTGCTCCATTACTGCCTTGTGTTCACATTTTCTTTTGTTTTCACATGTATTCTTATTATAGTTTAAGTTGCCTTTACACCCTCGTGAGTAAACGTGCAGAAAATGTTTGAACAAAGACTTCCAGGACTGACAAAGGAAGCAAACCACGCCAAAGAGAACGAGCACCTGCGCTGCGGGGTCTTCACGCAGTTAGCAAAGAGAGACTGCATCTGTGCTGCTGGCACCGCTGCTGGTTGTGCTGCCAATCACAGGCACCGTCCAGGGTGAATCTGAAGAAAGAGCTGCGTTACGGACTACAAGGAAAGAGTAAGAAACGCTAAATACACAAACAGATGGGCTCTTCAAACATTTGTTGTTACATTTGGTCTTCGAATCGTTTTCTAGGGAATAATCTGAACAAGCCCCAATTTTACTGAAATAAAGCCAGAGTAGAGTCACTGATGTTTACAAAGTGCTCCTCATCAGCAACAGTTCAAACATCTCTGCTGAAGAATCAAAAAGAGACGTTGCTTTAGTTTTTATTGTTTGTGGTTAAAGAGATACAGCAGTCCCTCGTTTATCACGGGGGATTCATCCCCTGAACACCCGCGATAAGTGAAAAAACACCAAGTAGGAATAGTACAAGTAGTAGTTTATTTTTATTATTTATATTGATATATATTAAGGCATTTTAAACCCTTCCCTCACATTTGCAATATTCTAAACAATGTTTCTAAACGCTCTAAAAGATCACAGAATGTCATGAACTTAGCTCGCTGCATCCTCTGCTCTCAGCCACTGGATATTGGCCATTTTGCTGCTATTCTGTAGAAATAATACCCGTTATAGATAACTATGAACAACTTGACTTAAAAAAAGTTTATTTCTGACTGAGTTAATGAGCTAGTCCGAGTGCAGCTGAGCTCAAACTGGATATTTGCAAAAGCAAGTGGTGGTAGCAGCTTGCTGTAGCATTTGTCTGGAAGTAGCTCCAGACGGAAGTTCTGCCACAATAAACTAGTAGTGTGTATGTGTTATAGTTTATAAAATAAGAGTGTGAATGAAGCACAATGAAATTTATTTGGTTGAAGTTGAGGGTGGCACAGTTGGCAGAGCCGTTTCCTCTCAGCGAGAAGGTTGCTGGTTCAAATCCAGGGCAAGAACCTTTCTGGGTGGAGTTTGCATGTTCTCTCTGTGCATGTGTGGGTTTTCTCCAGGTACTCCAGTTTCCTCCCACAGATCAAAAACATGCATGTCAGACTGCCTTCAGACCCAGGCCTCCCTTGTAAGAGATCTGTGATCTCAGTGGGATTAAATAAAGTTGGTTAAATAAAGTTTAATTTAAAAAAATGTCTCTAGATGAGAGTGAGAGAGTGAATGGTTGTTTGTCTCTATGTGTCCCTGTGATGGACTGGAGACCTGTCCAGGGTGTCCCCCGCCTCCAGTGATGGCTCAACATGGACACCAGTGACCCCGTGACCTGAAAAGGAAGAAGAGGGTAAAGATGATGGTTGAAGTTCATTAGAGGCAGCAGCTTGGACAAACCTTTATAAGTTCTGTCCACACGGTGCGAGGAGACCCAGACAAATGTCTCCTAAATGTCAGTAGTTCGTTGACTTTTATTAAAACTTTACATCAATCTTAATTTTACATTACATGCCTATTCCAGGAAAAAATTTTAAAAGTACCCGTAAGTCCCGTTGGCATTGCCCCAAAGTGCTAAAACAGGAAATAGCTGCTGCCGTTTGTGTTTGCAAACGATCAAATAATTTTATGTAAATAACAGCATTTACATGAACTGCCCCCAAAAAAAAGAACAGTTACTTTGGTTGGCTGCATTTGTACTAACCGTTAACTCATCGGTCCTGTCAGGTTTAAACTCCTCGTTTCTCCAAACTGAGACCGTTCAGAGACAATTAATACAACATGTAAGGAAAAAAAAAATGTTCCTAACTTTTCTACAGAACCCTGATTATACAAGTGTCCAAACTAACCCAACCATCCCACTGTTAGAGCACTGACTCCTCAGAATCCTAACAAAAGTATCCCTCGCTGAGCTTTATGTAACTAATGTTTAACTAATGTTTAACTACAGTGAGGGGAGGACACGCTCTATAACAAGATGTACAGACGGTCTTCAACAAGAATGTGCTTTCAGAGCATGATGATGAGCAGGAAGTGCTTAAACAACAGAAACAAACATTTTTTTCATTCCCTGGATAAATTGGTTAAACATTCAAAGCCACCTGCTGTATGAAGATGGAGTAACAAGTCAGAGGATCTAAATAATAAGAGGTGGTTGTTTTTTTTTCTTGCAGCGTTATTAGGTAATTATTAGATTTATTTATCTGGTATCCTGTTGAAATCAAAATAATGTAACATTTTACTGCACAGATAGAGTTTTACACAGCGAGCTGAGGGAATAAAATGATGTGAAATCATTTTGTATAATTGCTTTAGCTTCAACAGCAAACAGAACTGTATTAATAAAGACAACATCTTGGTTTTTTTATGACACCACCAAGAATATATCTGAGATACACACAAATTAAAATGACATAAAACTGGGATATTCTATTTCCATAACCGCTCTTACACGTTTAGTAGAGTTAGTTCAATAATTTTACAGGAAAACCATATTTGGTGTTGCTTTCTTCAATGAAGGGTTTCTCAACCCACCCAGCCCCCCTTGGAGAAATAAAACTCCAAAAACACATTATGAAGGTTGTTATATTTGAAAATAATTTATGGACTTTTGAGTTTTGTGTGGCTAAAAGTATTTGAACATGAAATAATTGCATGGTTCATAAAAATATGTGCAAATTGAATAAATGCAAAAAACATAAAACATATTTCTTATTTGATGAATCACAGTATGGTTCCAAATATGAGCAACTCACAAAAACTGTGCTTGTGTAATAAAGCTATGTAAAACTGAAATCTGCAGATGATTCGGACAAACTAGAAACAGATCATCGTCAGCTTTAGGAGAAAAAAAAAGACATTTCCATCGATCTTAGTCATACAAAATCAACTTCGTTTAGTGTTAATATTATTTTAATTTAAGGAGTAAAGCAGCAGAAACACAGACAAAAACACTCAAACAGGCACCTGTGCTGCAGCGACTAACATGATGTTTGGTTCTATATGACCCCAAATGACAGACCAAAGACACGAGGACAACAGGGATACAAAAAGTCATATAGTTTATTTACAGTTTATTTACAGTTTATTTACAGTGCAGCAGCAGGTTTGGCTGTGGGAGGAAAAAGTGTAGACGAGATGAGCATCTTGATATTGAATGATCCTTGATAACTAAGATGATGTTGAGCAGTTTGTCTTACTGTCGAATGTGGTTGCAGATGGAGTTGGGAGAGGTGTGGACAGGGAGTACGGAATCCAGAGACGGCGGGGAATCCAGCGAGGTGAGTATAGATCGATGATGTGGTATGGTTGAAGGATCCAGAGTGTAGTTTCTCAGATATATGGGTTTGGTGTGCAGGATTGACGACCAGATGCAGCCAAGTGGAGGTCGGACAGGCAGGACGGACGGGAACTGAACAGACGGGCAGAAAGGCAACAGGTTAGTACAGACTGAACACACTAAGGCTTTACTGGCTGTCACAATATTACCCAAGGCAATAAATGTTCGAGCGTCGGCTGAACGTCTGCTTGAGGCTTAAGTAGAGCAGCAGGTGCAGGTGTTGCTAATCAGCTGATTAGCTACTGAGAGAGATAGTTAAAGGGGAAGGCAGAGAATCCTACAGCGATGTGAGATTTTAGAAACAAAGCATCGCGGTGAGGAGAAGAACTCACCTCAGCTGGGTTGACTTGGAGCACAACGTATTAAATGTGTGACGAATGACTCCCTTCTGTCTTCATTAAAACAAGAGGTCTCTCACTTTGACTAATCTTGATTAAAATCCTTAATAAAAAAAAAACTCTCTTGTCCAAACTTACACTCTGTTAAAAAGGAAAATAACAAATACATTAAAAGATTTGTTGCTTTGTACATCCTTAAAATAGGTTTGAGTTGCAAAGTTCCGTCTGCGACACGTTTAAGCCGGTGGAAACAAAATCTTTAAGCATTGCTACAGCTCTCCCTGACCCCCCACCCCCTGGGGGTCACGTCGCACAGTTTGAGGGCTAGATCCTCCATGATTTACCTTCATCTTTTTTACCCACTTGTTTTAATTAATGGGTTTTAAGGGGAGTGGCGGCGCAGAGGTTAGAGAAGATGGGCCTGTGATCGGAAGGTCGCTGGTTCAACTCCCCCTACCGACATCAACAAGATGTAGGTGGGAAAGGTGAAGCACACACACCTGCCTCCACCCTCATTTGCCCCACCTTGGGCCCTTCAGCAAGGCCCTGAACCCCCACCAGCTGCTCCCTCGCCCTGGATGGTGACTCTGCTCCACACAGAGGGCTGTGGCAGCTCGGTGGTCTGTGGTTGTGTCAGGAAGGACATCCAGCGTAAAACCAACTGCCAAGTCTTCGTGCGAGTGAGTTCACTGAAGAAGGGAGCAGCCGAAAGAAGAAGAAAAAGTTTTAATTAATGGCTTTTGCTAATATTAGTTAATCTATCTATTTTCTTAACCTGCCTTTTCAGGTTGCAGGCGGGCTGGCGTCTATCCAGTTAATTAATTGCAAGTTAGAAGAAATTGTAACAATCTATGTGTGAAGAAAAACTGCTCATAAATTGGAGCGTAAAAGCGT